GTAAGACAATCTTTGTAACCAAAGAACTACTGGAGTATGAAGTGATGTTAGATCATGGAGATAGGAGGACCAGGATTCATGGACCTGGCTGGCCGAGGTTTCTTGATGAGTACACAGTGCGCACGGCCTGGTGACATGGTGTATATCTGCCTCCCTCGTGGTGATGAAAGATGTTTTGTGGATGTCGAGATGGATGGCATAAGGCAAACACCACTTCCTTTTATCGGTAAGATTAACGCATGCAATCTGCAATTCTATGTTATCTCTCTTTGTTGAGCATAAGGCAAACACCCCTTCCTCCCGGTTGTCCTATTACGCATCATGTGCCTGGCACATGCAAGCAGTTCATGTGCCTCGCACGTACCGTTTCAGAGTTGAAACCCCTCAGCGCGTCTGCATCCTGTGCCTTGTACTCCTTCCGTCCCGAAATACTTGTCGGAGGAATGAATGTATCTAGGCATATCTTAGTTCTAGATACATTCATTTTTATGCATTTCTCTGACAAATATTTCTGGATGGAAGGAGTACATGGCACCCATCTGTCTTGTGCCTTGTACATGGCACGTGACTGTACCATACTCCACGATCACATGATTGCCAGACATCTGCAACTGTGCCTGGTACATTATCCAACCTGAATCGGCTGCAAATGTGCTAGGCACATTAGTCAACTTGGGTGTTCCCAAACCCATGATAAGCGGCCGGTGGCACGTCCGACAATTCCCATGTGCCGGGCACTTGTTTCAGCATGATACTTACCGTGATCACAATTTGTCTGATTTATGGATACACGTTTGTTGGTCTAAATGTCCTAAAGGTAATATGAAAGTGAAATTATCATCAATCAATTCATTATTTGAATATAGAAAAGAAGAAAATTAAAACTAATAATGTTCCATTATATATCTTTTGTCGGAACGCTGTCTACATCAACCTACTCACCACGTGAATATCATATCTCGCTTGGTCACCAATGAATTTCCTGCAGAAGTTCATGGTGTAAGACCACCTACTACCTTGTGAGCAAAGTGTCCAACACCTTGCCATCATGGTGGAGATGTGGCCGGGAAGACCACCTAGTACTACCAAAGTAGCCAGTAGGGAAGGGTGGCGGCGACGGCGGGCGTTGCAGCGCCTGCCGGAATGTGTTGGAGTCAACGTGCGTGGACGACGGCCCTAGCTCCCCTGGAACCGAATGCGGCAACAACCCCTCTGAAAACGCTAGCAGGAACTCCTCCGAAAAGGGGGTGTGTGCCGGCTATGGCAAGCAATAGTCGTGGTTTGGGCTGCCGGGCAAGGCAACGAGGAGGAGGTCCAAAAATGGGTGGCGACGGCGGCTATGGCGGGTGGGGTGGGGTGGGGTGAGGGGCAGGCCTGGTCGAGCAGAGAAAATGAGCGTCTGTGTCCATGACAGGCGGGCGAGGGGAGGACAAGGGTGCGCGTCCTGCCAGTCCGCGGGCGTCCACTCTGACGCAAAAGCGGCCCAAAGTTGGGCCGGGACTGGGTCGAAAACCGACATTTATCTGTTTGCTCACACGCGTTGGGCTGCGTTTTCCGTCTGTTTACCCACAAACGGACTCGGCCGGATTATTTGGGGTCGTGCGTTGGAGTTTACTTTAGGGCAACTCCAACGCGGTGACCCAAACGACCGATTTAGTCCGCTTTTTCTCCGTTTGAGTTGCTAGTCCGCCCGTGTCCATTTTTTTGTTTGGGTCAACCAGTGCACCCAATGGGACCGGACGCATTTTGGAGATGTCCGCGTCAGCATTCAATTGAACATCTGGTGGATGAGCTCCCGCGTCGCGCCCGCAAGCTCTCTGCCCTGCCCCGAATCTCGCCCTGTCCCCGCGCCGCGGCTCGCCGCCCCGCAGCCCGCCGTAGCTCGCCCCGCCCCTTAGTGGCCGCCCCGCTCGCCTCCGCACGTGCTCGGCCGTGTTCTCGTGCGCTCGAAGAAACCGGGCGCGGCAAGACGAGCGCGGCCAGGAACGCCGACCGGGCACGACGGAGACAAGGCCGAGCGCGGCACGGGGGCGGCGGCGCTCCCACTCTAGTAGCAACGGCGCCCCGACGCGTGGGAGGTGAGGCGAGGTCGGCCACCGACGTAGGTGCACGGCGGTGTCGTGGGGTGGGCAGGGAAGAGAGAGAGAGAGAGAGAGAGAGAGAGAGAGATGTATGTGACAGTGGGCCAGGCCTCGCATGCGCTGGACGAAGGGGACACATAAAACGTCTGATTTGTGTCCGTGTCCGATCCAAATGTGATCCAAATTTTGGACTGAAATGGGTCTAAATGGACATAAATCAAACACAAAATGGAAATGGGTATCTGCTTTGGACCGATTTGACCGTTTTGACCCAAATGGATACGCACGGACGAATTGGGTCGGCCCTTGCTCTTAGGTCATCTCCAACGCCGACCCGCAAATACCTCCTCCCGCCATCCTCCAACCTTTCCCATGCCCGGACCCTTGCAGTCCTCCACCCCTGCTCCCAATCCTCACCACAGGGCCCGATCCACTATCGGAGATGTCGTCTAGCCCGACCCAGACCTCTGCGACGGAGACACAGTCCGCCTCGTCCGCCGGCGTCCCTTCGTCAGTTGGGACTTGCAAGGCAGAGAACGTCGCTCGGAAGTTGCGACGACGCCAGCAGCGAGCGCGGGAAGCGGCGGCGTCGCGCTAACGCCGCGGTTACAAAAATGGCATCCACATGGACAAGCATTTTCTCGGCGAGGGAGAACTAGAAGGAGGAGAACTACAAGCTCATGTTGGGTGCGCAAAAGGAAAGGATGGAGTGGGACCGAATGAGGGTGGAGAAGAAGCTCGAATTGAGAGGAAGAAGATCGAGTTGGAGAAGTAAGAAGCGGTGATCAAAAGGGAACTCGGGAAGGCCAAGACATTTGGCGACATAGAGCTTGAAAAGAAGAGGTTGCAACTCGCATGAGACGCGGACGATGCGAATATCATGTTGGCGGACGAAAACCCTCTTCCATTTTTGTATGCGAAGAAGTGGCTTACGGACAAAAAGAAGGAGATCCATGACCGTAGGGACTACGAGGCGGTGAGGACGATTGCAACACAGATGCAGGCGGAGGAGACAATATGGATGCAGACGAAGCAACCAGCTCGGATGCACGGAGCAGGACGAGCAAACCACATTCCGCCTGGAGCACGATGCATTCCGCTCGGAGCAGGCGCCCGGCCAGTGATCCGAGGCCATCCGTCACGCTCGGACATCGATTTCATTTTGGCATATCCGGATTGTTGAACTTTGCTTTGTTTCGAACTTTTGAAATCGAACAATTTGTATCGTATGATCGACATGCATGGATTGCATGGATTTAAGAATCCGGATTTAAGGTATATGGATGCACAGTGCGACATATGAAGGACCTGCGGGGCTGTCCGCGAGTGTGCCCGGACGCGCCCGCGTACGGGATTTGCCAAGTCCTACTGTAGAAAACCAGCAATGCTGGATGTTTGAAAAAACATTTACATAGACATGCGCTTGTTCACTTGATTTAAGCAGCACACTGTACCCAGCGAGAATTAAGAAGAATTGGTCACCCCGTGACCAACTCTGCTGCATGGGATGGTTTTGCATGGAATCCACTTTACCAGTCCGCGTGCTGCACAGTGCACACTGCAAAAGTCGATACGTCTAGTCCGGGTATCTGATCAGGTGAGTAGATGTTTTTTTTTGTGCCAAGGGATTAAGCATGCTCCGGCAAGGGTCCAGTCGTAGGTTGCAGTAGACGCCACGACGCAGATGAAACACAGAATCACGGGCCGCCTCCTGTAGTGTCCGATAGCGGTTTTCTTTTCTCTCGGTGTACACAGTGCCCTATGCTGTCCGCGGCATGACTCCTCCTCTAGCCTCTAGCTGGACTTTTATATTGTTATTGTGATGCTAGCCTAGCCCATATACATGGAGCTGACATGATAGATCTCGAGTTGTTGGCCATGGCTTCCAGTTCCATGCCGAGGCGTCTGGTCGCCTTCCTCCTCATCTCTTGTGTTGCCCGCCGCGGGCGGGCGATCAGCACGATCCCGCCAGCGATGCAGTACATCAATTGCGGCTCCCAAAAGTACGAGCTGGGCAGCGCCTACGATGACAGCGTTCGCTGGCTTCTCCCCAACCTTACGGAGTCCGTCCCGTCATCAAGGACGGCGCCATTTCCAGGCGGGCTGTTGTCGGCAACGGGGCCAGCGACAGCGACCCTGATGATGGGGTGGGTTGCGTGGCCATGTGCTACGCGGACCACGGCCGGGAAGAGTGCGCGCTGTGTCTGAGGCACGTCGCCGGCCAGTTCCTCCAAGGGAAGGCCTGCCCCAACGCCAGGAATGCGTCCGCCTTCTACGTCGCCTGCCAGGTATGGTACTACCAGCTCCCCCCGGTGCTGAGCTTCGGCCACTCCTCTGAGGCGGTCAGAAGCGATTTGGGGCTTGACCTCACCGGCAGCCAAGAGGTGGTGAGCTTCCGGAATAAGCGGAGATGGCTTCTGCAAGATCTATCTACCCGCGCGATTGCGTCCAAGCAGTACGCCGCGGCCAGCAGCACCAAGTACGGCTACGGCAGCGCGGCCGCAAGCATCTACGGGCTTGTTCAGTGCCATAGGTTCCTGTCCGGAGAAAAGTGCAGCTCCTGCCTCAACGGATTCATACAACGCATTGATTGTGATAATAATAAGACCATAGGCGCCATCAAAGGTTATTATTGCTACATCAGATACGGGACGGAGCAGTTTGGCGACTACGTCAATGAATACTCCCTCCGTCCGAAAATACTTGTCATCAAAATGGACAAAAAGGGATGTATGTATCCGTCCGAAAATACTTGTCATCAAAATGGACAAAAAGGGATGTATGTAACAAAAAGGGATGTATGTAATGTATGTAGATACATACATCCCTTTTTGTCCATTTTGATGACAAGTATTTCCGGACGGAGGGAGTACATGACAACGGTCGTCGCCCAAACACGCTTGGGCGACAGCACCCACCATGGCACCAGCGCTGGCGCCGGCGCCACCACCCCACAAACACAAAGGTGAGATCCACAACACAACATTTCTGCTCCTCAAGCTCCATAACTTTTTTCATGATACACCAAATTATTTTTCAGACCCAACTGCCTAGATACGACAATTCGTGTCTCTGTTATGAGGATAAGGTCCACCCCAGGGTTTTCGGTACATCTTAAAAAAATAGTTAAAATTGTATTAAAATATAGTATAGGATATACATATAAATGTAAATTTTATGATATATATATTCCTCATATCTTACTTTTCTTATACCGATTTTTGTGTAGTGGTTGAATATGAACATAAATATTTGTATATCAAACGTAAATTCTAAATATAATGATGTGAGAAAAAACCTCAGATTTAAAATAACTTATTCTGCAAACCCAATGATACGTACTTGTACAAGCTCTATGCGGGGATTCCTCATTAGACATGAGCGCTCTGGCATGTGAAAGCGTGTGAAATGACTGAAGAAACGGTCGGTGGGGGAGCGTGGAGGTATGCGCTGGGATTGATCTAATAAAAAGGATTATGCAGAAGCAGAACCTGGGAAATACCTGCAGACCAAATTACCCATACTAAAAAGTTTGTAAGAAAAGACTACAATAACCATCTAAGCAGCTGTTGATCTTGTTTGATACTACTTTGTTCTAGACTAGAGGTGGTAAGATGTACCCTAAAAAATCTACAACTCATTTAGCTGTTGATCTTGTTTGATACTACTCTGTCCTATAGGTGGTAAAATGTGCCGTAAAAAATCTACAACTCATTTTTGCATTTGCAGGGAGGGCAACGATGATAACAGTTATCATCGCTAGCTGCATAGGCATCTTCCTGGTGACCGGGATTATGCTTCTTCTCAGGTACCTCTTCCGTGGGAGGTTGTCTCGTGTGCCTCCAAGGCAAAGCATACAACTTGGTAGCTCCGCGCCAATGCAGTTTTCAGCCAGCCAGCTCAGAGATGCGACTAACAACTTCACTGACCCTCTAGGCAGCGGTGCATTCGGTACCGTGTACAAGGTACCCTCACCGTTTCCTTTTACATCCTATATTAGCTTTGTCTTTAGTCAGATTGTTTGAAGTTCTATCAAGTTTATAGGAAAAAAACATCATTCAGAGGAAAAACATTCGACAATTTCAACGAGATTTCACAATGTTTCATGGACGACTCCGTCTTCTTCCGCGTCGCATAAAGAGAGACATTGACTCGCCCATCCATGTATGTGGCCCCTGTTCGTGGCTTTGTGCCATTCCCAATGCCCGTGACTTCCGTTCGGGAGTGTTCCCAATTGCCCACTTTCTTGTCTTCTCCATTTCAAGAAAACTACACGGCGGCGGCGGCGGTGTCACACCCTCAAACTTTCGATTCTGGTGACCGCACAAGGACAGGGAGGGAGATGAATTTGGGGCTGTTTGGTTATAGGCTTTTCATTGCCATACTTTGCTACTTATGTTTTTTGCCAAGCTTTCCTAAGGTTAATCAACAAAATGAGAGTCATAAGTTGGCAATTAAGAAAATTTTGCCACACTTTTTGAGTGTATGTCATGTGGGGTTCTAGTGTGGCAAAAAACATGTTGCCTAAAGGTTTGTAGCAAACACCATCCTAAGTTGATCAAACTTGCATAACTTAATAATCCTAGGCAGCCTTAGTCATAAACCAAACAACACCGAAGTCTCCCATCGGTGAGGGCGGCAACGCAAGGGCCGGCTTTGGGCTATGGCCAGGAGTGCGGGCACCTAGTGCTCAACCCAAATTGGGGTCCATCCTAGTGCACATGTATTATATATAGGACCCTGAGAAGTAGCATACGGGTGGCACGAAGCAATTCCGCCCTTACTTTTTTGATGGCAACTTTGGTTGTGAAGCATGGAAATTTCTGTTTGGATGGCAAGTTTCAGTATTTTGGGGTTTCATTTTTTATGGCAATTTTATGTATAAAAACATCAGGGCGGTGTTACTTCGTGCCACAGGTGTGGCACTTATCATTTGGGTATATATCTACATACGCATAACATGAAAAATACCTGGAAACAAACAGAACAAGTAGCAAGCCCAACACATTAGAGTACCCACAATGGGAGTAACATAGATGGTAACATCACACTTATCTAGGCAAAATAGATGATGTGGCATGTAATTAATGAAGAAAGAGAGGCATGTGATAACATAGCTAGTTACTGTAACATCACACATAGTTCCAATACTACTAGTACTCTACTCCCTCTAGTATCAAAACCGTTCTTATATTTTGGGAAGGAGGGAGTAGTAGATTAGATTCCTTTCTTGACATGAGTAGAGAGTGAAATGTGTCATGAGTCTTGTTAACTCAAACTGATTGCATGCTTTAGATCAATAACTCAGGACTTGATTAATTTAGACCATAAACTCGTTTATTTGATTAAATAAGGCTAAAATCAATTTTGGATTAGAAAGACCGGCCGGCCATGTGGCTGCCTCGTCAGCGTACCTTTGATCGCTTGCTAATTGACTAAAATTTTATAGGGTTCTCTTTAAAAATGTGGAACTGATTTAATTTTTTTAAGGCACGAACTGGTTGGGATTTAAAGACAAGCTAGAGCTGAGGGTACAACAAGGGCTTGCTGGCCACTAGACTATTAATTGATTCGTTTATAATATGCAGCTCACATTATGTACTACTCCCTTTGTCCCATAATGTAAGACGTTTTTTGACTAGTCTCAATAAACTGTTAAAGCTGGATTAGCTGAGCACTCATCTCAATAAATAGCCAGTTGCGTCTGTTAGTTTTTTTCACGTGAAAGGGCCTAGTGTGTTGTTATGCCGATGGACCCAATATAAGTAGCAATCGACGCAGACTATGCAATGCATGTATATTGACACTCAACACAAACCAGTTGACAGCCTAGTGGTTAGCAAACCCTTGTTTTGCCGCGAGTGCCGGTTAATGCGCACCCTTTCTTTTATTTTTTTCCTCGCTAGTGATCGGATGATGTGGCCTAAATTGATCAAATCCCAAGTTGTTGGCCTAAAGCATGTAGTCAGTTTGAGTTAATAATGTATATGCAAGCGCCTATGAACAACACAAGAAGCACTTCCCGCTCGTATGTAGTACTATTAGTCATCACTCATTCGTCATGACCAAGGCCCTTCTCTGTTCTGTCCACGCACCAGGGTACAATGGGAGGGAAGGAGGTTGCCGTAAAGAAGCTTCATAGCAAGGATGGAGTCGTAGGGGCAGCCTTCACCAGCGAAGCCCACATGCTCATGGCGTTCAAGCATAAGAATCTTGTGAAGCTGCTGGGGTACTGCAACACAGGCGACGACAGGTTGCTCTGCTTCGAGTATCTCAGTGGCGGAAGCATCGATAAGCTTATCTATAGTATGGATGATACCACGTGCCAACATCTTCTTAACATGTTCAGTTAGACAACCTCTTTACAGATGAGACGTCCATGTTTCTCATGCAGAGGAAAGTGGGTACGTGTTAGATTGGAGCGGACGCTACAAGATTGTGCAAAGAATATGTTCAGGCCTGCACTACCTACACCACGAACTAGACCATGAGCAGAACATCGTGCACCTGGATTTGAAAGCGAGCAATGTACTGGTCAGCCACGACGGCGATGGAGGAGACATCACCTGTGTGAAGATCGCCGGCTTTGGCCTCTCAAAGTTCTTCAAGGCGGATCTAACGCACTCGTACACGGAGCAGGTCGTTGGTCTAAGGTAAGTCCAAGTATCATGTGAAATGTTAACATAAATATATTCTTACAATTTTTTCAGAAAAGTTACATACTGTGAGAGGGATAATAAGTTAATAACCACCTGGAGCTGCATGTGAAAATAAATTAACCGTCACCGGATGGTACTGTTCTGTTAGATTTTTTTAGAAGTGTTATGTAATAATGTCATAGCTCGAATGATAAATGTTAGTCTTGCTGAACACAGCCTATGTAACATAAGTGATATGTGGAGGATGCGTGCAGGGCGTATATGGCACCGGAATACCTCTGCAAGGGCAGAATTTCGCCCAAGGCCGATATATACAGCTTTGGCATTCTTATTCTGGAGATAGTCACTGGGCGATGCGCCAAGGTGGGCGATTCTTCAGGCGACTTCATCACTTGGGTAGGTACCCTTACTCAACGATATCACCCTACACTTCCAGTTGTCGTCACGTCATGAGACACATTCTTTCTGGTCTGCAAGCAGGTTCATGACGAGTGGAGAGGAGACGTCCGAGCTCTCATGGATGTTGATGGCCTGTCGGGTGACTCTATCACACAAGCCCGCAACTGCATCGAGGTAGCGCTGGACTGCATCCAGGAAGAACCCAACAGCAGGCCGGACGGGGAAATGATAAGGCAGAGGCTCTCGCATGTATGACGGCAGCGGATGTGAAGAAATTGATTGTTTATGTGATGTACTGTGTTGTTACCGGGCTCTTTTGGATGACGGCAAAAGTGCGCTCTTTGTTTAAGTCATTGGTTTGCATTGGGGTCGACGAATTTGACGTATTCAAGAATTGTATCTTTCATGTGTTGCATGATTGGCTATTTGGACAAACCTCTTCATTTTTCGAATGGCTCTGGCACAACGATGTGCAATATTGAATGCATCTCACATTTCTCCCTCTCTCTGTCCAAATTCCTAGATTAGCATGTATAGTACCGATCTTTTGCATTTGAAAGTTCAGATAATATCGGATTGGTGATTAAGGTTGCCATTAATTCAGGCCAGGCGTTCAGGTTTATCCAAAATGTTTAGGTCAGGTAAGTCGCGTTGTAAAATTTTGCGTTTTGTAAAACTAGCATGATGGCCCTCGCAAATGCGAGGGCAATGTCCAAGAGTGTCTGGAAATATATTTATGCCTCTACAAATACTTAAATTATATCATTTGAATTAGTTGTTCCATAGTCATCACAAACGTTATTCTAAATAAAATATCACGCATGCTGAAAACATCTTTAATCATCTGTTTAATTGGTGGGCGAATGATTATTAATAATACATGGAACTAAATTCATATCGCATGCAATCATGTGTAGGTGAGCAATATTTCATCGATTTAGAGTTAACAATTCCTATATTTTTATCATGTCTAAATAATAATTACTCACCATATGATGTTGAGGTGTGATTACTAATATTTACCAATCATGGTATATCATAATCAAGAACCACCAGATTGGTGGTTATATGATGTTATGTATAATTACTAAGTATGTCAATTCTTGCATGTTAATAAAAAGGTCGAATAGGTCGATTTATGATGAAGAGTGAGCAGTCGCCCCATGAGATGTTCTAAACTAAATCTCTATTTTTGTATTGCTCATATGTGCTTTAATGTGATAATTATGTGTGTCACAAATACATACAGGGAGAATATATATTCAAAAGGGAAAACAATGTTTAGAACACACAAAACCCTAAGGTAGTTTGTTCAGGTGCTTGTAGAACCATTCAAAAATTAAGACAATCTTTCCAAAGAAATAGCAATCGAATTTTGTCGATGAAATGAAGAAAACACATCTTGTTGACATGCATTGAAACTACAGTGTGAGAATTATCATTTTATCTTGTCGAAGTCAACTTCTTCACCTATTTTGGTTATGAAATATGTTCTCCAGCCATTCTAATATATGTGATGTTTAGACAAAGATATTATTTCAACATGTAAAATTGACTTTTCTTAAAAAATGGAAATTAAAAATCAATTTCTTTCTCAAATTTAATGATAATATTTTACTAAATCACTATATTTTTATGTAGAATATGGTCTACAGAGTGAGAAATTATCATTTTATCTCGTTGAATTAAATTTCGTCACTTATTTTTGTTCTGAAATACATTCTCTAGCCATTCTAAAATCTAGCCAGGTTTGTGTCCCCAGCAAAAAGTACCATTGCAAATTTTTTCCCTATTTAGTATTAGGAAACAAACGTCCTTAATAAGTAGTCCCGTTATACCACCACGATATTTTAGAGAAACTAGTTCATTTACTTGATTTAAAATAATGATATTCCTCATCATTTTTGTGTCTATGAACATGTGATTTCAATTATTTTCTTTTTTGCATGTAACAAAGGGATGTGTGAATTCAAAACCACAGAATACAAATAATTAACATGCAAATTTTTAGATAACAAATCCTCATGGCTAATCAATTGTACTTGATTCAAATCAGATTTAGTCACCGAGTCACATGGTTTTTGTCTTCAACAATTAATTCAATGGGTGCATTCAAAATTGTTGGAATGTTAGGTTTTTGATCACAACGCACATTCATAACAGTAACACGATTCTCTAAAATATGTGGTGTGCTCAAATCAATAGGTAACTAAACACATGATGTATTCAAATCAACTAGACACTCATCATCCTCATGTGAAGGTATGTCATCAATACCTTTATTGTTACCTAGTTGCAACGACTCAACTGATGTAGGTATGGACAATGGCAATTCACTATAGACTTGAGGCGATATCACACTCATAATATGAGGTGTGGCCGCTCTCATCAGTGGAGGAAGCAACTAGTGGTGGTGAGCATGAACTAAAATAGTAGTTGCCGTAGTCAACCAATGCATCTTTCTGTATTTGTCTCTCAAATATACAAGCACAAACATACATACCAGTAATGCAATAAGGAAGATACAGAAATCTTGCGAATGTCATGGTTCAAACCATGAAAAATGTACTATTTGTATCATCATAGGATTCTTCTATGTCACAACGATGCACATAAGATTTGAACTCTTGGTACTAAGCATTAATAGTATGACTCCCTACTTTTATTTCTTGCAATTTACGAATCAATTCACGATGGTAGTTAGAAGGAACAAATTGATGTCTCATAACAACTTTCAAATATTTCCAAGTTTACGCTGATTATCAATGTTGGGGTCTAGGGTTATAACTTGGTCATTTACGTATAAGGTGGGCGAGTTGTAGGGTTATATGGCCCTACTCCATTTTTACATCATTTCAACTTAATTCTTTTACATCATTAATACACATCATTATAAGCCTCGTGCAAACATTTGGACACTTTTTGTGTTGGTTTGCTATTTTTGAAGCAGTAACTAATTTTCTGGCAACTAAAAAGGTCAAAACGCAATTCCATGCAACGTTTTGTGCAAACGAGCTCAAAAAAGGATGAAACTTCGCATGGTGTTTTCATAGGCTCCATGTGTGGTGTGTTAAAAATTTGAGAGTGTTGCAACAAAAACTTGATTCATTTCGTGTATAAAATGAACACTCTCCAGCTAAGTATCAACATTTCGAACGGAAACTGCCGTCTTCCGCACAGAACAACATTTTGTTAGATCATTTAAGCTTTACACTTTTTCCACGATGAATACACACCACTCTAACCCCCATGCAAAAAATTCAGCCATTTTTGAGTTGGTTTGCTATTTTGAGGCACTAATTGATTTCCCGGGCACTAAAAAGGTCAGAACACAATTCCGTGCAACATACCTTGCAAGCAAGCTCCAAAATGGATAAAACTTGGCATGATGTCTTCACAGAACTCATGTAGGGTGTGATAAAAATTTGAAGCGTTATGGAAAAAACTTGATGCATTTCGTGTACAAAATGAATACTCTCCGGCAAATTATCAATGTTTCGAACGAAAACCGATGCCTCCCACACAAAACTCCATTGTTTTTACATCGTTTCAACTTCAAACTTCTCCCATTATTAATACACACCACTCTAAGCCCATACAAAAATTTGGTCGCTCGTATTATATTGAAGCGGTTATGTAGACAAACTAAGATATTGGTTTTGTATTATATTGGCATTTCATATCCGCTTGTCAGCACGTCGAAATTGAAATATCAAGCCACAAAATCTAGACATTGCGACATGCATTTTTGGGGATCCGATATGTCCACGGGTACGTTCTTGTAGAGGGCCTTCACGTGCGTAGTCGACATCATTTGATTTCATAGCGTCATACACATAAACCCACCACATATGTTCATTGGTCGTTGTAGATGCAAGTGCGCAAAAAGATTCTACATGGATTTTGGAGCACTAAACTTATTCCTAGGTTGTTCCTGTTTCTTGTGGACAACCTCTACTAAAAAAACACAGCCATAAATTCAATTGGTGGTGCTGACTAAATTGCACGTCTTCGTTGCTCGTGTTAAGGATGAGGGTTCAAGGTTAGGGTTTTCGCATGGTATGCTCCTCAAACTTAGAAAGATGGTTGGTGGGCGAGAAGGGGGGTCATGTGTTGGGATGGTTTTGTGAGACAATGCAGAAGCATCAACATCCAGGGCAACAAGCACATAGGATGGTTGTTGGGGGAGTGGTCGGAGGGAAGGTTGAGCGAGAGAACTGGATGGATATATGCTGGCAAGCCCTACTTTGGTCGCATGGCGATGAGAGGCAATGTCAGATATGGAGGCGGTAGCTACCCGAGACCAAGGAGGATGGGTGACAACTGTATCAACATGTATCAATATAGGATAGGATCTTATGAGGAGGAATGTAACTTAGCCGGGAAAAAAGAGTAGGGTTAACACTTGTATAGAGAAAATATTTTTTTTTGATGAAATACAGATTGTCCTGTGCAACTAACAGCGAGGGAAACACTCAACTCACATTTAATCTTAGGAAACTGAAATATTACAGCAATCTAGATTATTTGTTCCGGTTCAAAATATCAAAACGAGAAAACTCAAACAATTAATCTATAAAGATAGGTTAGATTAGGACATGAGCACATAAAACAAAGAACCGACAAGAGAATGCGGTTAGGCAGCTAAGTAACGAAATTAAAACCCAAGCAACCATCTAAAACACCAACCAAAACTTCATGCAAATGTAGAATATTGATATGTATTCCTGCAAAAAAGAGATAATATTATCTTTAAAGAAATATGATTACATGAAACATTAGCATGTCAAACTGAAAGTACATTGTTAGAAAGGGTAGAGAGGGATTGATGGAATCGTTGTTTATTGCTTGAGCATTGTGGGCATTTATATAGGAGTACAATGAACAACTTGGAGTATAAGACAAGGCAGGACAAATCCTAGTCTATCTTATGTTTCCTAATGAATGAATACACTCAACATACATATATGAATATCACCGGGAGGAATTTCATCAATCCTTGCATGCCATACTACGGATCGAAGGCATGTTTGAGAAAAGTTCGCACGATTACACCTAAACCGGTTCATTTTTCCATAGAAACAAAAAATATAATCCACTTTCCAACGGTAACCTACTCAAGGGTTTGCATGCCAACCCCTTCCTAGGCACAGGTTAAACAGCATTGGTCAATACACTATAGCCACTAACTAGCTACTGCAAGCAGGTGCAAATTAGTTGTCTGCTGCGTAATTTTTGAGTTGAACAGAAGTTGC